TAGCCCAGTTACAAGTGCGCGCGCGTGTGTGTGATATAACCATCATCGGCCGCGTGCGATTGGTATCTCCGAGGTGTACTTTATAGGGGGCGTCGGTAAAAAAATTTCACAAACGCCCTGGGAATCATGCAAATGAAACGTAAGCATCCAACTGACCTTAGGAACCCGCTTAATTGATTATATGTATATCTGAGAAAGAGACGCACAGCAATCCTTGCCTTCAGTTCAATGTAACTTTTCCTTTTCCTTTTTTTTTTTTTTTTTCCTTTTCCTCTTGGCCACAGCTCGGGGAGTAACGAGGTCGGTGGCACTCGGTTTTAATTGATTTTCGTTTTTTTTTCAAAACAAACTGTTTGTTGGCAGGTACGTGCAGTTAAATCGTTTCCGACATCAAATTCGCGCTAATTGCCCCTTTTGGACGGCGACAAATTGACATACCTAAATTATCGGGTAACGCAAGGGGCGATAACGACGGACGATTGACCGATGCTGGAGCAAAATTTCCATTTTTGCTCGATTCACACGCTCCCATTTGTTCATGCGCACTGTGCCGCTGAGAAAAAGGAGCATAATAATGACAAAACAAATACCGAGATTTCCCGATGGTGCAGGTGAGCCCGTGGCAGCCGCCGATGGTTATTTTTAATTCCGAGAGCAGCTCGCAGGTACAAAGTATAGAATCGAAATTCCCTCGTGCAACCTCATATACACCGGGCGTACCTATGTATTACACTCTCTTGCGACTAGTTTTCGGCTTATTTCTGGCTCCCCATACGCACTCGCACGGATCTTGCACATTCTGATTTATGCGCAACATTTGACTTCGGAACTGTTAAATATATATATACATGTACATGTTGTCGCGCTGCCTCGTCCCTAAATATGCGCTAAGCGTATCGCGTGCTGAGAAAACGCGACAATTGCAGATATAAATGTTCAGTGGAATTTTAGATATCTGTATGTGATTCTTTTTGTTTGATGTGGCGTATAGGTACATACTTGTCCTATCTGTGAGAGAAAAATCTTGTTTTCCAATGTATACCACGTATGTCGCGCGCAAAACACCAAAAAAATAAACCTCCCGTATCAATTACAAGGTCATTACTCAAGGCGATACCGTAAAGCCATACATTTTCATTCGAGTCGTGTCCGAAACGTAATGAGAATCCACGGGGCAACGGGAGGGGATCAATTAATCATCGAGATTTTAAAAGGTGCTAATTATGCGCGCAGTGCACTGTGTATGGATCTCAAAAACAGGCACACCTGGTAATTTTATTTCTTCGCTTGTACGTACCACCTTTGCGTACACGCGTAAGCCGCACCGATGCTACACGCCATTTTTCATCCAAGCTCCCGATCGCAAAAATAAATGACTCCGAGATCGGATCTCCCTTTCTCTCTTTTTGTCTTTCGAATAATATGTTGTTATGATATTGCAGTCACGCCCATCCCGCGCGTTTTAAATACTTGCTGCAGAGGAGATTGTAATGCATGCGGGCGGAATATAATATGTGGAATGAGAAAAGCTCGACCGGGAGAAAGTTTACGCGTGGGTGTACCTTTATCCGATACGTACGTATGTTGTACGAGGAGAGCGAGGCGAACGAATGACAAAAATTTCGCTGCTGCCGAAGAGGAATACTTAAAGAGACTCGGACGCGATTTGTGTGAAAAGTGAGAAAAATACGCGTGACGTGTTTATCCATAGTCAAAATGCCACCGGTAATTGAATCTCAAAACGCGGTACCGCGAGCCTATACTAGTGTCGAGGGAGAAGAAAAAAAGAGGAGAAAGGAGCTTCGTCCCCTCACCTCGGAATATACATGTACAATGGACGCTCGAGCTGAAACCGCAAAACTCGAGTTATGTCCTTTACGGCGCCGATTAGATGATAAAACGGGCGCAAAAGCGCGGAAAAATCCATTTCGTTTTATTGTTTTTTTGTTTTTTACAACCGTCGGCGGGTCGTTAATTTATCGTCACTCGAAGGCGAAACGAGACCAGACCGCGTGCACCTATGGTTTGTTTCGTTCTTTGAGTTATCGGCTGTGCGAAAAATCACTCGTCCGCAGACGTCGAAATTAGTTTTGCGGGTAATCGACTCCGTGATTAATGTCTCCGCGTCCCGAGGCAGCGCTTCTTTTTTTTTCCCCAAATGGTTATTGCGCCGCTCGCGCGTGCTCGAGATTAGAGCCGGTGTCTCTCGTTAAAATGGCTTTGGCAAAGCTCTTTTTTTTTAATTACGTCCAGCGGGGAACGTTTTTTTTTTTTTTTTTTTTTTTTTTTTTTTTTTTCTTTGCAAAAAGTCAGTTTTCAAGTGATTCTCGAAAAGTGAGGAAAAAAGAGACGTACCTGTAGCGCGCACCGGCGTTATAGAGAAGGAAGTTTTCCGACGTTTCCTGCATTGCGCGGCGATGGGCGCACGCGATGATGGTAATTTGGCCAAGCCGCGGGCAGACCTCACCTCCTCGCGGAAAAACACGAACCGCTGCGCGCTAATTCGCGGGAGTCGCGAAAATAAAAAAAATACAGGTCTTTTCCTCATTGCTCTGCGGCGCAACGGTGGCAGGAAGTTTGACTGCTATATATACACATTGATGCTTGCTCGAGCTACGTGGAACTTTTTTGTGTAGTTTGTAAATTTTGTTTGTAAATTGTTTATAAATTTGGAAGGACCTTGTTGTGCTTGTCAGGGGACAGCGTTGGGTGTAATCATAACATATACCTTCACTTATGATCCTCGGAGTGGTTATAACGAGCACTGATATATATATATATATATATAGCACTTTTTCATAAACTTCTTTGGTAAGTTCAAGAATGAGTTACGAACCGCACGTGCTACATAGATGCCTCCCCATATCTCTTTATACCGACCAGGCTACAGTCGCGTACTTTTTATACAGATGATTTATCAGACAACTTTGTTGGTTTGATCGACGATTCAGCAAAATCGTCCAATCCCTCGAAATGATGGATAACCAACTTATCCGAGAACGTAAATCGTCGCTTCAATACACGTATAATATATATAGCTGTCTTCGAGGTGACGGTACACGGTATATATATATAACCAATAACATCGCGAGCTCAGCGGTGAACGGATTAGAAAATAAGCGCGTGCAGCTAAATAGAAAGGGCGCCCATGTGTTGTTAACAATCGGGGTTCGTCGACCTTGTTCAGCGGCGCAGCAGGACCCTCCCCGAAAACAAAGGCGAACCCGGCGGGCTTTTTCTCATCTCAGGGACTTTCGTTCGCCAAAGAGTTTTTCTTGACGTGTGTTGTGCACACACGCAACACCGGTGCCTGTTGTTGGCGCGCTTTGCTCTCGCTGCCAGACTTTTCCTCCTCTCCGCACCACCCGGGTAAGTAGGGTGCGAGATCTATTGCTTTACTTCCCGACTCTCTCTCTCTCGCGGTCAATAATAACGCCCCCTCCCCCTCATTCGTACCCTGTTTTTTTTTACCATTTTGTCAAAAGATCGTGTACAATTACAAGCGAGCAAACGAAAAAAAAGAAACAATATCAGTATGTAGCTCTAAGGAATTGCCTGTGGATCATCGGGGGGCCAATAGACTCTGTGTCGAGTTTCTTGTGGAGGTGCAGTAGGTACACATGCAAGTATACTCACCGGCGCGCCAGTGAAAGTTGCCGAGGCCACTTTCCCCCCGGTGCAAGGCACTGTGCCGCCGCCGCTGGTTTCCGGGCTCCCACCGTATCTTTTTCTTTCGACGTCGTCCCCCGTCGCCGACGCTTCTACACCGCGCGAGCGTATTATATATATATGCATGCACACAGACACGCGGGCTTTGTACATAATGTACGCGAGCGAGCGCTCACGAGTGGTTATCAATTTTCCGCCCGGGGGAGATCTCGAGGAGAGCCGGTGTTAATGGCCTTTCGCGCTCTGATGTCTGTCGACGCGGTTTTTTCGGCCTCCCGCGAGAAAACGCGGATCTCTATCTGTGGATGCAGCTTCCCGACCTCTCGTTTCCGTCTTTTGTTGCTGCTCGAAGCCATCATATACATTTATATATGCTTTATGGAGATTTTTTTTTTTTTTCTTCCTTTCACCGATGATCCGGAAAATCAATGTTTCGGGGGTAGCCGTCGTCTTCAATTAGAAAATCACACCTTCAATTGGCGAGAGGACCCAGTGGTATCGGAAAATGATAATATATTTGCTGTTGTATAGCCGAAGAAGAAGAAAGAGCACAGCTGTACGGAAGAAAGACTGTCCGCATCGGTGGCTGGTTTTGAAAGCGAAAACGGAAAAAAGTCGGCTTCCTGGACACCGTACCGTGGCTGGCTGGGGTATAATGCACGTTATTACGTGGCGAGCGGGAACTCACTTTCTCTCTCTCTCTCTCTCTCTCTCTGGGACTCAAGATTGTGGTCATCTGCTCAATCTCTTTTCTTTTTCTTCGCAAACAGTTGAACGATAGGTTTGATGGCAACAGGTGCGATCGACTGGATAAAATTTTCGTTTCGTGCAATTAAAATACTCTATTTTTTTTTTCTACATTTTCTACAATGTAATGACACGGTAAGTCACACCCGCAGGTGCAACACGCGCACGAAGTAAAACGAATAAAAGCGCCGTATACGCGGAAACGGCAGTGGAAGGAAAAGAGAGGCAATTAGAGGATTTTTCGCCTCACTTTCCCATCGCGAGCAAAAAAAAAAAAAAAAAACTGGCGCTCATCGTAACCGCAAGCCAGACGGTGTAATAAGACGAATTACGCGTAATGCGGAGAGCCTCGCGAAAGCGTAACGAAAAAACGCGCACGAGGAAGCGTCCGATCGCCGAATGTACACGGGGAATTTCTTCCTTCGTTTTCCTTCGGCATCGATTTGCAAAATTTCGCATCAACTGCGCGCACCAACTCTTTTTTTCCCCCCCTCTCCACCGAGGTATGAATCAAAGAAAACAAATTTATTTACCATACTCTCTTGTATATACTCATTCGAGTGCAACTTACATAGTGCTGGCCAGGGGGGGTTGTATGTATACGTACGTTCGGCGAATGATTGCGCAACGCCGAAAAAGAAGTGTCTTACCTGAAACAGAAAAGAAAGAAAAAAAAAAAAAAAGTTAATCGCACGTAAGTTACGTTGATGAAATAGAAATTGCACATTGGTGTTTAATACACGCGATATCCTTAATTAACGCGAGCTATCGCGCGAAAACCCGTAAAGCTGAAATATTCACGTAACACTCCGTACTTATCACTCGGGGCTACTCTTTGCATAATCCATCAAACGAGTTTGCGCGGAGTGCAATCAATATCCTTAAAATCCCAAAATAACGCGATAGAGGTATATACATGACCCGGTCACGATGCTCTATGAGCTGGTGTTTGGTTTTTCAATTTTTCAAGTCAAGTAAGTAAGTATATCCACCGATATACCTGTATTGGATAAATATAATCTTGCGTAACAATCAGAAATCGGACGGCGGAGAGAGAAAGTTTTTTCTTTGCACAGAAATTGTCGCGGAGCCCACTACTCTCGATATTTATTCACATCGCGGCGTTGCGCAAGAAAAAAAAAATTCACTTCCTCGTCCCCGCGCCCAATTTCTCGAATGTAGAGTACATGCAACGGGCCCTAATGGTAATAACAGGCTTTTCCACGCAAACTTCCTCGTTTCGATCATACACCCCATGAAATTGGGCTCGTCAAACTGTCACACAACCGTGTGCTTATTTTCCACGCTTTTTCCAAAATGCCACTGCAGGCACTGTGAACACATAAATACACACAACATGAGCTTTCGATTCCTCGATTGCGCAATAAAAAAAAAAAAAATTTCTCCTCTTGTTATCTCTCCTTTTGTAGTAAATCAACGTATCCTTTCGCCGATTGCGATCTAAATCTAATGCATTTAGGTACTTATAAGTACACGCATACATACACATCCGCGATGTTTATTAAAAGTGCGCGGCGTTACGTGTGCATAACACATGCGTAGGAAAAAAGGAAAAAAAGAAACCAGGACTGCTCTAAATTTCCAGAGCGATATACCATATACTGGGAGGAAAAAGGCGGGCGGCGACTGGCGAGTGAGTAAGTAGTAAGAGCCGTGTACGGTAAGACTGCGGAAGTGAAGTGTAACTGCCGAACGCTTTTGCTCTTTTTCTGGCTGCTCCCCCCCCCCCCCTTTCCAACCCATTTTTTTTTCTTTTCCCCTCGCTCGAGTTACGCACCGAGTTTTATTTAATTGATTTTCGGTGGAAGCTATTAAACGCGCCCGACGCCTGGATCATGTATACAACGCGTGAAGGGCGTTTTTTTCCGTACACCTTGGGGTATTTATCGCTTTGCTTGGATTAACTTCTGGTTGAAAAGTTTTTTTTTTTTTTTTACCAGCAAATCGTTTTGTATCAAACAATGAATCCTTGGGACAAAATCAAGTGAAATCGTCACCATAACCAGGCCCTTATTAAGAAGCTGGACGCATGTTTTGTTCTTCTTCATCCGTGTATGATTGAACCTTATCTCCCAATATATTTCCCACGCGATTGTTATTTTTCTCGATTATGCACAACGAAAACGGGGCGTTTTTTTTTCTTCTCTCCCAGTCGCCTCGAGTTGGCAATCGTCGTCCGCAACTTTCACCGAAAATTTATTCGCCCGCACGATACACTCACGCGAATGAAGATAAGAAAAAATTAACTGCCGATTACCAAGCAAGCGTTTGTTCCTTCACTTTTACGAGCGACAACAACCAAAAGAAGGAAAGAAAAAAAAAAAAGACCCTCGATACGAAAACACCAATTGCCAGCCAAAAGGACCCGTCGGAAGCACTTTCGTTTCGGCTCTCTTACGCAATAATCAACGCCGCGCGGCGCGCACTTTTCTCTCATTTATCCGCGCCTCTCTCTCCCTCACCCGTACCCTCTTGTACACATATACACACTCGGAGAGCCAGCCGAGAAAGTTTGAAAGCGAGACTCGCTCGCGTCAAATATATATACATATATGTATATATGTTGCGCGTATCGCGACGCCTATCTGATGAGAACACGCGCGCGCGTGTCACGCGTGTGGGTGAGAATGCGCGCGTGTATATTTTTGTGCGCGCGAGAGCACCGGCTCCATGTGAATTATAGCCGAAATGAAAAAGTAAAAGTTGCCCAGATATTCGAAGCCATCGTCGAACGTTTATTACGTGTATGCGTGTATATAAGCACGTTACTGACGTGGGTAACCTTTTTTTTTTTCAAAAGTGGCGACTGTGGGGTGTTGGTGGGCAGCAGAGTGGAGTATAAGCACTGCCCTTACCCAATTAAGTCACCACGATGGTCCAACTACTTTTGCTCCTCATCTGCTCGATTTTGATTGATCACGCAACAAAAGAGGACATTCATTGTAGCATCGGTATTGCTTCTTTTGTTTTACGAATCAGTTCATTGAAAACAACACCCGCACATTAACAAAGAGATATAATATGTCGCCACTGGGCAACCATAAGGAGCCGCGCAGTCGCCCATTACCTTATGCTCGTCCTTGTATTTTACGAGCCTCCATTCGCGCTCCTACCTTGTTGTTATTATTTAATAAATACGTACACACCTCCTCCCGAGTACTATGGGAACGGACGGGATAACGGATGCGCTCTCGGTCTATGGGAACAGCGCGACAGGGCAGAAGAAAGAGAGAAGGCTTTTGTCAAACGCTCGGCTCTTCTCTCTTTCTTCTGGGAAAAGGAGAAAAAGGAGGCAGAGCCGCTGCCAAGAGAGGGAGGACTGTCCTCCTGGGAATCGACGCTCTTCCGCGTTTGCGGAGCGCGCGAGCGGGAAAATTAGATTTTGAAGAGTGTAATTGGCCGAAAGGCACATGGTGCACAGTACAGGAAGGGAATAACGTTTCAACATCACACGCGCGATGTATTCATAAAAGGTCGAGATGGTCCCTTTTGGCAAACCCAAGAGCCCCGATACACACACAATCGCACGTCATCATTCGAACAAGCGTTCGAGCGAGATGGATTAAGAAAAAAAGAAAAAAATGAATAGGCACTCGCGACTCGCAGCTCCCGTGGCCGCGCGTTAATAGCCTCGACCATCGGTCGGAGCGCGTTCCCATCGAGCGAGTCATGAAGTCGCGGCCGGCTAACTTTGCAACGTCTTGGGAAGCTGAGAAAACCCGGAGACGCTCGTCCCAGGGCGCGTCAAGCTACGCTGCCCTCGCTCCTTGGACGATACACCTCCACCCTTTGTTTTTCAAAGCGTTTGCTATTTGCACGATTTTTTGTTGTAACGGTCCCGTTGTTGGAAAATATATCCCTTTGGCTGTGAGAAAACGAGGAGGGGGAGGGGAATGAAAATCTCATAGCGTCGCTCGAGCAACAACGAGCTTGCAATCTTTTCGCAGCAGAGAGGTACAGACGAGCAAAATCCAAATTATAAATAGGTGTACATAAAGCATCTCTCGGTATTCAAAACACAGAATCGCGCCGACAAAATTCCCCGGCACGTATCATACACCCGGAGAGAAAGTTCTCGTCGAGCGGGAGAGCTTGTGCAGCAACACACCAGCTCGTGTGTGTATAATATTACACACGGGCGCATATATATGTGATTATATCGGAGAGAGACAGTCGCGCGCCTATATTGTAAAAGCGACGGGGCAGTTGGTTGACCCAGTCGAGGGAGAGAGAAGAAGAGTGTAGAGTGTAGAGTGTATTTATTTAAGCTAAGGACCTACGGTCCATATTAGCCTATAGGCTCAAGTCCTTACAAGACTGCTAAAAGCAGTTTTTACAATGTTAGTGACACGCAGGTCACAATAGTATAGGATATATCACAGATAAATTAATTAAAATAATGTTATTTAAAATAAAACGTTAATTAATAGTTAAAATAATTTAAAATAAATTAAATAGTATAAATCAAATATAATAAAATCTGTTGATGATTGCAGTATTTTTAAAAAATTTTAAATATAGGCTAACTAATTGCACACATAACAATATATAAAGTAATCTATAATTTCATTACTTAGGTCTAAAATCTTCACTAATAATATATTCAAATAATCTGCTTTTGAATAATGCTGGAGTTTGGATGGATCGTCGGTTAGCAGGCAGTGCATTCCATTCAATGGCAGCTCCAATGGTAAACGAATGTTTATAAGCATCTAAATTAACACGCGTCACTAGTAACTCTGCGGTATTCGAATTTCTGAGGTTTATTGCATTTGACGCGTAATCTAAAATTAATTCCCGGCTATAGCCGCCGTCCGACGATGCCTCTCCGCCTCTTCTGTTTCTCTATCAGCGCGTGTGCGCTTATACACGGGCAGTCTCTCCGGAGATGGCTCCTGTCGCGTCCATCATTACCAAAGAGTCCTTCCACGGAGGTCGCGTCTACCCGCTATGCTTTTCTCTCGCTCTCTCTCTCTCTCTCGTCCGATTAGCTAAAGCAGTTCTCGTGCGCCAACTCGACGATCCAATAACCAACACCTACGCGCAGTCACAAATCCGATTTCACCGATTACATGCGCATGGAGGGTGGTCGACACACCTCCGGTGCACAAACATTTTGCGCTCTTTGGTGTGTGTGCTGCACAATACACACGCGGAGCGTGTCAAGGACTCCATGTGTGTACATATAGTATATATGTAAGCACTAGCGAGAGCAGAGCAAAGCTCTCTTCCGCAGCCCCTCTTAGACTAATCTGCACAGCTCTTGTTCTCACCCATCCAGTGCGCGTGCAAAGCTCGGAAGCCCGCCAATTTCCAGCTCTGACCTTTGACTTTGGAAGACATCGGGTGCTGCTGGCACTTGGGAAAAAGAAAAAAGACGTACCATCGTATGATGGAAACGACGTATGCCAATAGTTTTTCCGGCGTTACGTATATAAGGTACAATCTCGGGCTGTTAAATCATCAAGTTGTTTCGCCAGAGACAAAAGAGGCAAGAGCATTGTCCGAAAATTAAGCGTGATTTGGGTTGTTGATAGAGCATACAGTTTCGATGCGCCGAGCGACAGATCGATCAACGAAACGACTCGACGAGGACCACCGATTTTCACTTTCACGGCCCAACAGGCAC